AAGTTATTAAGTTCTTGAATCTGGTTCTATTATCTAAGATCAACAATATCTTAGGAGAGATTAATTTATTTATAAAAAAAATTATTAACAACTTTACATCTTAAAAAGCTAGAAAAATAGACTTTAATTTAAATATATAGACGAAATTTTTTTTCTGAAAGGCCCCTGATTAAAAAGTGGCTTTAGGTCCCCAATTTTCTTGAGCCGCCCCTCATTAATCAGGGGTAGAGCTAGCATGCAGTTACTAGTTCGTCCAAAACCAGTAACTTTGTCTAAACTTAGTTTTTATTTTAACAAATTCATTTAATTTGTATAAATTATCAATTTAGAACTCAAAAACTTAAAAGTCTAGAATTTCGAACCCATAAACTTTAAATTCTTGCTTCGCCTCTAATACTGATATTCTAATACTAGTATTCCTTTAATATGTCCCTATTCGGAACACTAGAAACTTGTCAACTGCAACACCTCTCGTTGTTCAAGTTTATACAATGTCGAATGATCTATTGAGTAAGATGATTACCGGCAAATATATATCACATTCATGAATTATGGGGCAGCTAAAAGTATTAAGTATTATTGGCAGGGCCGACTCTATAGGTGTATGGGGTAAGGCAAGTGCCTTAAGCCCCCAATTTTGGAAGGCCCCATTTTTTAGGAATACTATATATTTTATAGGTTTATAGGTTTTTCTTTTTAAAAAAATAAATAATATATATAGTACTCCCTCTGTTCCAATTTATGTGAACCTATTTCTTTTTTGGTCTGTTCCAAAAAGAATGATCTCTTTCTAAATTTGGTAACAATTTAGCTTAAACTTATAATTATACCCTTAATGAGAAGCTTTTATAATCACACAAATACTCTGGACCCCTTTTTGACTTGTTTAGGACCACAAATTTCAAAAGTCTTTATTTTTTCTTAAACTCCGTGCCCAGTCAAACATGTTCACATAAATTAGAACGGAGGGGGAGTACTTTTTTACTTTTCATATATAAAAAAAGAAAAACTTTTAATATATTAATAAAGTAAAGCTTAAAATAGTACTAAAAAAATAGTTGTCACTTGGATTTGATTTGACAACTCTACTTTTTGCTCTTCTTCCCAAATAATTCCAAGACCCAATCCACATTTCAATTTCATTTCATTCTTCATATTCCATATAGGAGAATGAGATATAGTGACATACCTTCTTCCTTCCTTTTTATTCATGCTCATCTTCTTTCTACTATATTTCTTTCTTTCTCCAAGACTCCAACAAGCCAACAACTAGATATTTTGGAATCAAAGTCTTCAAACTTCTTTATTTGTTATTTATTATTTTATTAATTTTACTATGTACATATTGTTTGAATTTTTTTAGAATATAAATGTGTCTACAAGAAAATATGCATCCGGATTCAAAAATCCAAAAGAAAAGAAAAGTTGAAAATTTAATAAAATCTCAAAAAGTAGCTCTTGAGAATTTTTTGACAAATAATGAAAAAACTAAATCGCAAAATGTAGGAGAATATTCTGTAGATGAACAAAATCCAAATTGAAGAAGAGGTTTATGAGAAATCTGACGAAGATACAAACTTTGGCCTTAGGCCCCATATTAAACTTTGGCCTCAGGCCCCATATGAGCTTGAGCCGCCCCTGATTGTTGGTTAAACACTTATACTAGCAAATATATAGCATATTCATGAATTGGGTTAGTGTGAAAAATCCAACTGCAATTCCCATAGTCAAGTCCAATATGAGTGCTAAGTTTTCAACTTTCTTTGGATTTGAAATGACACTGAATAGCCGTTGTAAAAATAATAGTTGAAAAAATTGATATATATTTTTTTGTATATATATATATATATATATATATATATATATATATATATATATATATATATATATATACACACATTATGTATAGATGTTATATACAAGTTTTATATACTTTTTTGGCTAGCAGATGTAAATAGTTTCTGGTGCGGGCTAAAAGTAATAATATCCCTTGTTTCAATGATAGACGACCCACTGACTGCTGGACCAGAGCCCAACTCAACGTAGTGGGTCGAGCCCAAGAATTTTATGGTTCAGCTGATCAAAATGAGTTTGATCCAATCATGAATTTTAACTTTTGTGTACACCAACAACAAGGTTAATGGTAGCACATTGAGTGTACTTGGCGGCTTGGCCGGAACCCTACATTTCGCAACTACCGTGAAATGCCGATCATCGGCGGTTCTAGAATTTTCCGGTTGGCTCAGGGAATCGCCACCGTGAAGACCTATTGGTTCAATTTAACCAGTGAAAATGTTATTGTTGAGTATAATGTTATAGTTTTCTATTACTTATATTTGGTGTTTTGCTGGTTGATTTTTCAACTTTGAGAGATCTTGAACCATCCTCTCCAGTGTTCTATGTTTTCATTTTAATTTCTTTAATTTAATGTGAAGAAATGGCACGATAAAAATCGAACTTACACCTATTATTTGGAAGATTGTTACTGGTGTCACCAGTGTATTAAGTTTTTAAATATACACAAGAGAGAGAGTGTGTCTATCTATATATCTTCAAGAGATATGACCAATAGCAAGTGATTATTATTATTATTATTATTATTATTATTATTATTATTATTATTATTATTATTATTATTATGTCCATTTTCTTATCATATCAAACCTTGAGATACGGTTTCCGCGGTTTAAGAAACCTCTTAAAGATTTAAAAAAGAAATTATAGCACCAACTAATCTACTAATACTTTTCTTTACGTTGTTTAATAACCTTGTTTTGAAAATGTGTAGCCTTGATTAGAACTTGATCGATGAGGTTAAGCTAACGTAAAGTTCACGAGTTACAGGTGTCTCTGTGTGTATGTGGAATTTAGGAAGTCAAAGATCATATATGGAGAAGAATATATGAATCCGAAATCAGTAGGTGACCGCCAGAGGCGGATCCAGTATTTTTACTGATGGGGCAAAATATTCTAACACAATATTCTGCTTAGCCAGTATTCCCTAAAGTCTTTTAATAGCAAGGGTGCCAACTACTTTAAATTAATTATTTTAAAAATATATACGTAATCAGAGGCGTATTCAGCTTGGGAGATATGGTCACATGAACCCATACTTTCTCTCCCTAAACCATGTATAATAATGTTATATTTCTTCAAAATTACTTAAATATATGTGTGTGAACTCATGCTCTAAGACTCTTATGAGTAACTATTATTGGGTGCACCTTTAAAAGTGAAATTGGCGGATCAAATCTCACTCCGAATGGTCTTATTTTCAGCATGAAGTTTAAATATATGTGAAAATTACTAAAATTTCAAAAGAATATAATTTTGAACCTATAATTTCAACAGTGTAGTGGGTTCATGGTAAAATTACTAATGTTAAACCCGTCAAATATAAATTCTAGTTGCATCTCTTTATAACAATGCACCCAACCTCTTGAAATAATGAATTCCTCCTCTATACCTAATACATATATAAGATATCTTTAGAAGCTTATGGGGTCCAATAATCCCTCACTCTAACACGTAGGTCCCGCTTTGGTGACCGCAATAGCCTACGATTCTAACAATTTGACCGGACACTTTGATTTAGTATATAATGCGTGTTCAGTACGATAGAAAACGGTTTCGAGAAACTGTATTTTGAAAACAAACTATTTTTCTGATCTTTAATTGTTAGAAAATATTTTTCACCAATGGGAGAAATAATTTTCTTCACTTTTGAGCGGAATAGACATTTTTCCTTCGTAACTAATTAGCTCATAACTTGATATCACTGCTCTAATCATAGACATAATTATCAATCTTTAGTACTTCAAAATATTTCATGGAATCACTATACAATTTGCTAAATTTATCATTATAAATCATACTCCCTACGTAAATCAGGGTCAATTAGTTTTTTGGCTCCTTACAAACTTATTTTTAGTTTTATCCTGCCTCTTTTTTTACACATGAGATATTTACTTTTACACGTCAGAGATCTGTCTTATATACATAAGAGAACTAAAAAGATTATTTTCTTAAATTCAAAATTGTAAAGGGGCATGATGTACAAATAGCACCGTAAATCATTGTTCATGGCATACTTTGACTATATACAAAGTTAACGAAAGAAAGCATTTTGAAACTTGTGATTGCAAACAAACCGTAAACATTTGTTTAATTATAAATTATTTTATTAAGGATAACTAAATAAAAAGTTTAAAGTTAAATTGTTTATATATAGATTTTGATTTCACGCTTTTTAGTACATAGTGAAAAAGGAAGATGTCCCACGTAAATTGAAACATATAGAGTAATAAATATTTTTCCATAAATATAGTACTATATTTTTAACTTTTCAACCAGTACCACAAATTAAAAAAATTAAATTGTTTTTGAAAAAGCATTTATCAAACACATTGGGCTAGCTGGTTGGTATGTTGAAGTTGTTTCGAGGAAAGTATGTTTTGCACTGCAACCACATGTCCACACTAAAATAGAAAGAAGAAGAGAATAATCAAAATTGGCGGTCCAACCACTCCCACCTAAACAACACGGAAATAAGAAAACAAGAAACTAACTCCATTCTTTTCTTTCTAAATTCATCCAACCCCTCTCTCTGCATTAAAAAAAAAAACAATCGGTCCCGCTATACGTGGGGTCCGAGGAAGTTAGGCTCGGAGCACAAGAGTCTATCGCAGTGGTGAAGCCAGAATTTTCATTAAGGGGTGTCAAAATATAAATAATTAGATACATCGAAAAATCAAGGGAGTCAACGTATAGTAAATATATATAAAATAAAAAAATTATCTAGCAATATAGTGTAATTTTTCGGCGAAGGGGCGTCGCTTGACACCCCTCGGTTCAATGTGGCGCCATTAGTATATCGTACGCAATCTTACCCAACATTTCTGCAAGAAGGTGTTTCCACGATTCAAATCCGTAACCTCCTCGTCACACGGCAACAACTTTACCGGTTACACCAAAGTTCCCGACCTCTCTATATATTTGTCGAAAACTCATGACATTTGGGAGAAATCAAAGACACAACGAATTAGAGAAATGGGAAAGCTAAACCTAATTCTATTGCTTTGCTCCATTGCTATTACCATATTCTCAATTCCATTTGCTCATGCCAATATTTCCCAAGGACCAAAAGCAATAGAACAATGGTTCGAAAAACTATCCCATGCAAAACCAAAAATAACCAAACTTCATTTCTACTTTCACGATATAGTTAGTGGCAAAAACCCAACTGCAATACCAATTGCACAAGCCAATTCTACTTCTCATTCTCCTACATCTTTTGGTCTGTTAGCAGTTTTAGACGATAGATTGACAATAGGACCAGAAATCAATTCAACAACTATTGGACGAGCTCAAGGAATTGTAGGTGCAGCTTCTATTGATGAGTTTAGTTTATTAATGAGTCTTAATTTTGTGTTTACTAATGGGAAATATAATGGTAGTACACTTAGTCTACTTGGCCGTAACACAGTTTTAAATGAATATAGAGAAATGCCGATTGTCGGTGGTTCTGGTGTTTTCCGGCTAGCTCGCGGCGTCGCCACCGCAAAGACGTATTTTTTGAGTAATAGTAGTGGTGATGCTATTGTTGAGTATAATGTTGTAGTATTGCATTACTGAGTTGTATTTGTTGCATGCTGGGAATGGAGTTGCTGATTTTATTATTTTGTTTTTGAATCTCTATTTCTATGGTGTTTTTCATTTTTTATTTCAGTATTTGTGTAATTTGACATCATGTTGAGACTTGAGTTTACATTTTATAAGACGAGAAATAAATTATAGTTGTGAAAATAATTTCCATTATTTAGTGAAATTCCATTGCAAAAGTTCGAACGGTTCGCTGCGTGTAAACGTTGTAGGAACTTCAGTCAACTTTATAGTATTGTTTAGAGGAAGAAGAAATTGTAACTAAACTTAGAATATAAATCTGTGCGCTGAAGGATCGTTGTAGGAATTTCTACTTTTGCAAAAGTGCTCTCAAAATGTGACCGTCACAATTGCTTTTAATGTTCGTTTTGAGTATATATGTGGTCCACTTGCTTTATACCATGCGTATAATCATGATTAGTCTGACATTGAAAGACAACAAGATAGAGTTGTTAATAAACTAAATTATTAGTATAACTAAACATCTCATCAGCTATTTAATTTGTTGCTTTAGTATTTCTTTGTTGATACACTTCAATCTTAATGGCCAAGTTGTCGCCTGCTTGGAAAGTGGAACCAGCACGGCAGTTAGGGACGGAGATAGCAGGAGGCATACGGATTCGCCCGAACAAAATAATTTTAGTTCAAAGTTTGTATTTTGTTTTAAGAAGTTACTTACATATATAATTATTAATTTAAATCCAATGTGCAGAATGAACAAATTAAACTTGTTCAGCAATATTTCTTTACACAATTTGCTTGTAATTCCAGGAAGAAAAGTATTCCTACTTTCTTGTATGGCTAATAATAATGCCTAATGGCTTCCGCTAGGAATATTCTTCTTTTAAAAGGGAAAATTGCATTTTTGGTTCTAAGCGCATTAATTATAGTGTTGTACGAGATTTTTTCATTCCTATGCATTATTTGAAACCTTATTACGAAATATGTCCATGTTTTGATATTTATCCGACCTAAATACATTTTAGTTACAAAATAAATACAATACACCTTAAAAGGCTCCTAATCCATTATTTGTGCGTTCAATCAAGTGATTTAGTTACACCATTTTCCTTTTTTCTCTCATCTCTCCCCTCTTCTCTCCGGCAAACCGTTGTTTTTCTATTCTTCTAGGGATAATAATTGATCACGCATCAAATATTTATGCAAGGCTTTCAAAGATTACAAGATAATCAATTGTTTTATTCGTTGGTCAGTACCGATCAAAGGCAACATAATATTTTCGGAAAAGGGTCATATATTGCCCTCTACTATTAGAAATGAGCTATATTTACCCTCGTTTTAGTTTGCTACTAAATTCATCCCTATCGTTATACTTTAGGTTTACTTTTACCCCTCATCCGTTAAATCCACCATCCCAACCTTAAAAATCCACGTGGCATGTCGTCGTTGAACAAAAAGACCCACCCATTCTTAAATGAATAACACGCCCGACCCAGCTACTTAACCCAACCCCCATCGACCAAAAATAATATTCCTTTTCTGTAATGAATAAATTACCTTTTTCCCTCCTTCCAAATTCCAGTAATATTTTCTTTGCTGCTTCTCGCCTCCTTCCTTTACTGTTTTCTTCTTATTTCTTTATTAGAACTATTTAGTCTAACGATTATCCATTTCAACTAACAACTCAAGTATTAAAATGCCAAGACTTGAAGCTGGCCATTATTCACGAGTTACGGATAAGGCAGCCGTAGACTCTTTTTGCTTATATTGTTTTTTTTTATTTTTCCCAAGCCTTGTTTATAGAATTAACGTGTTCAATCCAAAGAGGGAAGTCCAGTGCACAAGGCATTCCGCGTTCACGCAGGGTTCGAGGAAGGGCCGTACCCAAGGGGTTGATGTAGATAACCTAACCTAATGCAAGTATTAGTGGATGCTTCCACGGGCTCGAACCCGTGTTCAATCCAAAGAATTTTAATTATTTTCTAATGCACACTCAGTTCTTCTGCTCTTTTCTACAACAATATATACAAAGCATGTGAGAGAGAAAGCTTTTCAATGGACCCAATTAGTATATGGAAGAACCTTAGTTTTTGCCCACTTTCTGTTAGAGGAAGAGGGATTTAATTTAGGGAGTTTTTGGTCGATAGGGGGGTTGGATTTAGTAGCTGGGTCGGGCGGGTTATTTGTTTAAAATGGGGCGTGTCTTTTCGTCCAATGATGGCATGCTTTTTAAGGCTGGGATGAGAGATTCAATGGATGAGGGGTATAAATAAACTTAAAGTATAACGGTAGGGGTGGATTTATTAACAAACTGAAACGGGGGATAAATATAACTTATTTTCAATAGTAGAAGGGTAAATATGACCCTTCTCCGTAATATTTTTGTTGTTGGTTTTGACAGAATTAAACAATTCTAAATAAATCATTGTCTCAATTAATTAAGTTGGTAAATAAATTCACTTATTTCTTACAGTTCTTCTGAGGAGGGTTGTACGTACTGTTTTAGGAGATCTAGCAAAAGTCGAAACTGATGATTGGCGTCGTCGAAAACTGATGATTTAGTGATTTTAAGAAATCACTAAATCTTCGTAGTATCTGTGAGCACGTGATTTTTGCCTCGTTTAAAATTACTCCTATAGAATTCTTAGAATTAGGATTGTTTCTTTTATTATTTGATTTTTAGGATTTAATTGCGTATTTTGTGTTATTTTTATTTGTGTGTGCATGATAAGTCATATAAAAATAAAAAAATTGCAGGAGCATTTAGAATTTAATATTTACATTTTTAGACTAATTAGTAAGAAAAATCACAAAGAAACCTTGTTTTGTTTTGTTTGATTTTAATGTTAGTTTTAGGTTTGTTAATTTTTTGATATTAGACTAATTGTAGTTTAATTAGATAGTTTGAAATAATTGTGGGGTGTATTTTTAAGTTTTAAGATTAAAAAAGAAAGAAAAGAAAAAGAAAGAAAGAGAGAAAAACAAATAAAAGAAAAGAATTAAAGGAAAAGGAAATAAAGAAAAAGGGTTTAATTGGGCCACGTTTATTAAAATTCGACAGCCCAAGCCAAACCCCTAAGGAAACCCGGTCCAAGCCCAAAAACCGTCTCAGACACCCGGTCCAGCTCCCCCCCCATAAAAAAACGACGCCGTTTTGGCGTCAACTAATTTTGACCGTCCATACTCCCAAATCCAACGGCCCAGATTTAGTCCTTCATTTTACATAAAAGTGTAATAACACTTTACAAATTATAGAGACAACTCTCCATCTTCCTCGTACTCGCCGTCGTCCACCCTGTCACCACCGTCCTCACCGTGTCTCCACCATCCTCCGCCGTCTGCCGCCGGCCGGAAATTGCCTCCGCCGGCGGCGATGCTCCAAATCCGCCCAAAATTACACCCTTGAATCCTCTCCCTCTCCTCTTTCCAACCCCTAAAACCATCTCCTTCAATTCCTAGCCAATCTTCTCAAATATTATATCTAAAATCCGGCCCAAAACCCTACTCTCTCCAAACCAGTCCAAACTCACACCATATATCCTCCTCATCTCTTTCTTCATAAATCCATAGCCTATAACCCTCAAACATCACCCCATCTTCTCAAATTTTGGATCGAGGTCCGGCCAAGAACCCTAACTCTTCAAAGTCGGAATTTCTTTGATTTGGCACTACAACTGACTTTAATCGTGTGTTTTCTCATTGAAAACACATGATTAAAGACGATTTTGGTCCAAATAGCTCCAAAAGCCTGATTAGATCTGAGTCTGAGCCAAAATTAGAGGTATTTCATCTTTTTTTTTTGTTCTTGTTTTTCCATGTCTGCTTCTGTTGTTATGTTTTTTTTAAAAAAAATTCTTATTATTACTTAGTGTTCAGACTGCAATAGGGTAGTGTAAATATTTGCTCGTATTTGTTGATCCCAATTGAATAACATTGATCAATCTTTAGTCATTTTAGGGTTTATTGATTTCTGTTTCTACTGATTCTTTCTTTTAATTCTGGTTTTGTTTTTCTGATATTTGATTTGGTGTTTAGTTTCAATTAAATGATCCATGTTTGCTTTGGCTAATAAGATTTTAGTCTCGAGTTTGAGTGGTTTGTTTAGATCAATAATACAGTAGTCGTAAGATATATAGATCAAGCAATTAATTCAAATTAAAACAAGGATAGTTTAATTTTGTTGATTGAAGAATTGTGGTTATAGCTGAATAGTGTGGTCCTTGAATTAATCATAGTCACTAAATAAGGTAAAAGGGGTTTAGGGTTGATTAGTAAAATTCAGGGGTATTCAGGGTTAGTTTGGGTATTCCTAAATAGAAAACAATGATGTAGTTGAAACTAGAACCTCCCAGAATCTTCTAGAGGAGGGTTTTAATTAGAATTTCAGTAGTTTAGTGTTTAACTTGAGAAACAAGTCAAAACCTTAGGGACTAACTAGCTAAAAAGTGAAAATAAAAGAGGGACTTAGGGGTAAAGTGAAAATCTGAAGGCAGCCCTAATTTTGTCTATAAAAGGGCATTGCCTTGCCTTACAATACAAGTTTTAAAAATCTGAAAAATCCACACAAGTTTAGAGATCCCAAAAATTTGAAATTCAAAAATTCAAATCAGTTCTTAGAAGTCTAGAGAGCAAAACTCTGAAAAATTCAAAAAAAAAAGAGTTTCAGATCCAAAACCTACTGAAAAATCCAAAACTCTGATAGAAAGTAGATAGTTTAGATACAAATCAGATCCTAGAAACCAAACCTGAAAATCAATAAAAATAGTATAAAACTTCTCCAGATCTGCTGATTTTCGATTGTAGTAGTTCATCCAGGCCTGCTCTTCAACTTCAGTTGGTTTATTTGGTTATTTGAAGTCATTCTGAAGCCTGCTACATCTGTCCTTACTCCCTGGGTTTTGATTTGGAACTGCTGTGTTTTCCTGCTGAGTTTACACCTGTTTGTGTTGCTGTTTGGCTGACTATCGACTTTCTCATTTTATCTCAATTCCAGGTACACTTCGATGTAGCTTGCAAGTCTGGAAATGAAATAAAAGTGATGCATAATTTCTCTGTTGATTCTTCTTTTAACGAGTCATTGTGTTTCAAATAGCTTCATGATTTAGTTAAATTTTTATTGTAATTTGTTATGGACTGTACTGGACTGTTTGAACTGTTTTAGGCGTGTTATGAGTACTCTATCT